ACTGATTCATTAGCTTTTCTTGATCCATCTTCCTTTCTTAATTTCTCATTGGTGATAAGTGGAGTAGCTACAGTCTTGCACCCGTACATTTTGAACTTTTTCGAAAGATTCTCAGTGTACTTTTTCTGGCATATGAAGATTCCATCTTCTTCTTGGTTTATTTCAATGCCCAAAAAATAGTGCATCAACCTAAGGTCACTCATCTCAAATGTTTTCATCATATCTTTTTTTAACTCTTTAATTATTTTTTCATTGTTTCTTGTGTAGATGAGGTCATCCACATATAGAGAGACGATCAAGATATCGACCTTACCTTGAGTTTTGGTGTAGAGAGTAGGCTCGCTTTTGCTCCTCCTGAAGCCTGCATTGATGAAGTATTTGTCTATGCAGTTGTTCCAAGCTAGTGGCGCTTGCTTGAGTCCGTACAAGGTTTTCTTTAGCTTGAGTGCTTTATCTTATCCTCCTTGCTCAATATATCCTTGTGGTTGCTCGACATATATTTCTTCTTCGAGCTCTCCATTTAGAAATGCAAACTTTACGTCTAGCTAATAAATTCTCCATTTCTTTTGAGCTGCTAATGCTACCAGTGCTCTTATAGTATCAAGTCTTGCAACTAGTGCAAATGTCTCGTTATAATCTACGCCCGGCTGTTGCGAGTAGCCTTTAGCTACTAGCCTTGCCTTATGCTTTTGTATTGATCCATCAGGATTAAATTTGGTCTTATACACTCATTTAACCCCAATGATCTCTTTGTCTTGTGGGCGATCAACGAGTTCCCATGTTTGTTTTTCTCAATTGTTTTAATTTCTTCTTCCATAGCTTTTCTCCAGATTTCTTCTTTTACTGCAACTTCAAAACTTTCTATTTCTATAGTTATGAAGTTGCGAGTTTCATATATATCTTGGAGTGATCTAGTTCTTTGTTCTGGTTCTAGAGAGCCTTCATGTTGTATAGATGGAGGAGTTGTAGGTTGAGGAATCGTACCTGGAGTTTCTTCAGTTTCCTCTCTGCATGGTTGTGTTATAGTAACATTTTTCTTTTCAACTTTCTCTTCCTCCCAGTTCCATGACGCCGATTCATCAAACTTAACATCTCGGCTTATTATGAACTTCTTAGTTTTGGGATTGTAGACTCGATAGCCTTTAGATTGGGAACTGTATCCCAGGAATATGCCAACTTCAAATTTTTCTTCTAGCTTGTGTCTTTTCTCCTTAGGAATGTGCACATAGCAAATGCATCCAAATACTTTGAGATGCCTTGTTGATGGCTTTATATTGCTCCAAGCTTTAATAAGAGTCTTATTTTGTAAAGCTTTTGTTGGGCATCTATTTAGCAAGTATACTGCTGTATATACAGCTTCTGCCCAGAATGTGTTTGGCAAGCCTTTTTCAAATATCATGGATCTTGCCATCTCCATGACAGTTCTATTTTTTTCTTTCCGAGACTCCATTTTGTTCAGGAGCATAGCCAACTGTTAGTTGATGCTCTACTCCTTCATCTTCACAAAATATGTTGAATTCTTTAGAGGTATATTCTTTTCCTCTATCACTTCTTAGAGCTTTAATATAGTGGCCACTTTGTTTTTCAACATGGGTTTTGAATTTTTTGAAGATATTAAATACTTCTGATCTCTCGTAGAAAATAAACCCACATCATTCTAGTATAGTCATCTATGAACATGATAAAGTGCCTGTTGTTATCAAGAGATGAAGTCCTCATAGGTCCACAAATGTTTGTGTGAACAAGCTCCAACAAGGCCTTAGCTCTCCTAGCCTTTCTAGATGGAAATACTTGTTGATGTTGTTTGCCAAGTTGGCAACCTTCACAGACATCATGGATTTCTTTTATGTTTGGAAGGTCTCTCATCATATTCTTTTGATAAAGTGTTTTTAGTGCATAAAAATTAAAGTGGCCAAATCTTCTATGCCATCACCATGAATCTTCTACTTATGCTTTCATGGCTGTGGCTTTTACAAATTGCCATTGGATAGGAAAATTTCTATTTTCCATCCTTACTTTTGTTATTATGTGATTTTTATTTCTTTTCAATAATTTGTCTAACACTTAATAGATTATGCTCTAGGCTAGGTACTAGTAGAACATCTTTTATATATTTAGTTCCTTTATTAGTTTGGATAAAGATTGAACATTTTCCTTTTGTCTCCACCAGTGTTCTATTTTCCAGTTTTACTTGGGATTTTACGGACTTGTCTATGTTGGAGAAGATGCTTTCATCTCCAGTCATGTGGTTACTACAGTCGCTGTCAATATACCATTTCTTGTTGGTTCCTTCTAGTGTGGCTTGATGAGAATAAAACACATGCTCATTCTTCTCATTTTTTTCTGAGTAATTGGCTTGATAGTTCTTGGTCCGACAGTCTTTTTCTATGTGCCCAAATTTTTTACAATTTCGACATTTGGGCTTGCCACGAAACCAACAATATTTTTCTAGGTGGTTTGTATTTTTACACACACCACAGGGAGGATAGTTTTTTCTTTCCTTTATTTATTTTTTATTTTCCCAATTCTTATTGGATTTATAATCTTCTCTTCTAGAACTTTCTCCAAATTTCCTTTCTCCTTCTTTAGTTTTTTGAGACCTTAAGTTTAGTTTTGACTGAAAGGCACTTTCAACTGAATTTTCATTTCGCCTACTCAGTCTTTTCTCATAAGCTTCAAGAGAGCCCATTAGTTCTGTCGTTGACATACTAGTTAAATCTTTTGTCCGTTCAATGGCAGTAACTAAAGGATCATACTTATCAAGTAGACTTATAAGTATTTTTTCTACAATTCTTGAGTCATTAATATTTTCTCCATAGGCTCTTAATTGATTAATTATTATTTTTATTTTAGCATAATAGTCTTGTGTGGTCTCGGAATCCTTCATTTTAATGTTTTCAAACTCTCTTCTCAAAGTTTGTAGTTTAACTGCACGTACTTTGGCATTGCCTTGAAATTCCTCCTTTAAGGTATTCCATGCTTCCTTTGCAGTTGTGGCTCCCATGATTCTTGGAAAAATCGTATCATGCAAGGCTTGTTGCAGGGCATATAAGGCCTTTGCATTTTTTTGGTTGATCCTTCTTTAGTTGCCTCAACTGTTCCATAGTTGGATTTTCTGGATTATTGAAGCCACTATCAACTATGTCCCATAAATCTTGAGACATAAAATAGGTCTTCATTTTAATAATCCATAAGTCATAGTTTTCTCCAGTGAAAATAGGATGAGGGTAAGAGTTTTGGCTAGTGGTAGACATGATGGAGGAGTAGTGAACCAACGCCCAAGGTTGATCGAAACAAGCTCTAATACCACTGTTAGTTTAAGAGAGAAGAGGTTTGGAAAATGGTTGGTAGTGTTTAGGACAATAACTTAACTTGGAAAGGAAAACCTTTGAAAGAGTAACAAAATAGTTTTATTTTATTGATTGAAATAAGAAGGGTACAAGGCTTTAGAGTTGGTTAAATACAAGAGTTGGCTGATGGGAGAGTTAGACAGCTGTAGTTTTCAGCTTTTCTTACTTCAATACATAATTGGGCTGCTAGCTATATATATAGAGTAGCTAAGTCGGCAACTTGCTTTGGAAAAGTCGGTTGCTCATGCAATTGATTTTTCCAAAGTCATTTTCAGCCACAATTTTTCTCCTTATTCTAGATTTCTCTAGTTATAGTACATGGATATTTCTAATGACTTTAACTTGTCTATTTTCTCCCAATTTTTCTAGATTTTTCTATATTATTCAATATTTTTCTTTATTATTCAAAGTACAATGTGCATTACTTTTTAACATATGAAAATAAACATGTACGTCTAGAAATGTAGTAAAAAAATATTTTAAAATATTTCTTAAACACCCTTGTTGTATCTAATTCATGATTCTGAATATTTGATCATCACCATACCAAATGATCTGCCTTTGAACTCGCCGCGGGTTGTATATTTTATTTAGGCTTTTTATCACAATTGGTCCTTGACGTTTATGAAATTATCACGAATAGTCCTTGAGGTTTTTTTGTGACACTAATAGTCCTTAACGTTTGGACTTTTTATCACAAATGGTCCTTGCCGTCAAAAATTCTGTTAAGTGTATGATGTGTAAAATAAGTAGAGCCCACATGTCCAATCACATTGTGACATTTGGATTAAATAAATAAATAAATATTTTTTTGATGAAAATCCATTAAAAAAACCATTTAGCCTCTCTCTCTCTCTCTCTCTCTCTCTCTCTCTCTCTACTCTTCAAGTTTTTCAATCCCAAAGACCAAGTTCAAGCTTAAGTTCATCATCCTCTTCAAATAGACAAAGACCAAAAAGCCTGGGATGAATTGTAGAGAAATTGAAGCAAATGAGAAGAAAATGGATCAAGAGAAAACAAACCGTGCATATAGAGAAGAGATTGAAGGCCTTAAAGGCTGTCTATCAGTTTCACAGAAGAAATTTTCTGAAGCAGAGAAGAAAGCTAATGCACCCAAAGAACTAAGAGAGAGAGATGATGCGATACTCAAACTAGAGGAGGACAATCAGAAGGTTCAAGATTAGTTAAAATGGAAGAAGGAGCAATTCAGACATCTAGAAGAAGCACATGACAAGCTCCGAGAACAGTTTCTTATTCTCTCGGCGACCCACATAGAGAGAGAGAGAGAGAGAGAGAGAGAGAGAGAGGCTAAATGGTTTTTTTAATGGATTTTCATCAAAAAAAAATATTTATTTATTTATTTAATCCACATGTCACGATGTGATTGGATATATGGGCTCCACTTATCTTCCACATCATACACTTAACAGAATTTTTGACGGCAGGAACCATTTGTGATAAAAAGCCCAAACATTAAGGACTATTAGTGTCACAAAAAAACCTCAAGGACCATTCGTGATAATTTCGTAAACGTCAAGGACCATTTGTGATAAAAAGCCTTTTATTTATTCAGAATATTCAGAATCATGAATCAAGAGTCCAAATGATTTTATTGTATATTTTACGTTTCGGTCGGTTTATCGAATATCGACGGTTCAAGCATACAGGAGCCATGCCCAAACTGGAATCTAACGGTTCAGTTCGGTTCGAGCATCGGTGTAGAGAAAATGGAGAACAGAGCCAGTCCGATTCGGTTTGGTAGGTAAATCAGTTTGGTTGGTCCAAAATGCCAGCCCTAGAAGAAACAGAGGAGGGAATAAAATGAAAGAGTGAAATAGGATGTGGGGTTTGGGTGTGTGATGGTGGGGCGGTGGGGTTGGTCCAGATGAGGGAGAAGTGGGGAGGGCTGACAGGGATGAGGAAGGAAGAAAAAAATAAAAAATAAAAATAGTCCCAGTCCAGCTCGAGCAATAGTGGCAACGTCTCAGCTGGCCGTTGAAGTGAGGGACCGAATTGAAGAGAACGAAACCGAGAAGAAGCTATTCGATAGGCTTCGTCTCGGCACGGCACGCCTCGCAATTTCGGCCCCGGGCGGATGGGTTCGGGATCAGTCAGGTTGGTATGTTTAAATGAATTGGGAGTTGGAACTTGGAGGGAAGAAATTAAATTGGCTTCAAAGAAATGAATATTTTCGTCTTTGAATTTGAATTGATTAAAAGTGTGTTTTGAATTTTGCACGAGACTTCGCAATTTCACGTTAATTAATTATTATCTTCTTCTTTTTGGGTGCAGAAAACGTGATCAAACCAAACATTTGGGGCTGGGAGTTGCGCGGTTGGAAACTAAGTTTTGAGAATTGAATGAACTTCACTCACACCACAACAAAGGAGGTATGCATATATATATATATATATATATAGTGTTTACAGGATTGTGAATATGGAAATATAGAAACAATGAAGCTAATTACAAGGACTAAGTGATGACAGACTGGGTATCCAATTACAATCAGTCAGAAAGCAATTCTAATAAACTAAATTACTTACATACACACTTCAGTAGCTTAGAGAAAACATTACAAATCATATTTATATACTTAGTTCTAAGGGAAAACATAAACAGCTAGCTAAGAACGTCTTTCGATTTTCCATCAAACTCCCAATGCTGACTTTGTCAAGTGTCATGGCGCTTCAATGATTACTTCAGTGAAGAGTTTCTCCTCTTGATCTGGATGAGCTTGTCAAAGACACACCATGGAAAGCTCAGGAAATGATCTCTTTCCATTCCCTTGTTGCAGCGACCCCAGTAATCAGGATAATATGTAACATGGTACCAAGCTGATGCTTTTGCTGCTTGTACATCATTGATATCAGGCTTCATATCTGAATGCATTCCCAGCTTCTCATCAAACCAGGTCCTAGCTTCCTTTCTCAATGCCTTTATAGCATAATGAATCGACTCCAAGTCTTTTCCCCGGTTGAAATTTTTTGATACTGCAGTGATGCTCCCACTTAGTATTTCGGCTTCAGTTTTGTAGCCGTAGTAATCCATCAGGTTTCCCAGCTTGTAGTCATACTCACTTTTGTAATTGATGGCATCTTTGAGGTAGTCTTCAAATCCATCTACCACCATATCAGGGTCATAAAACTTCATAGCAACTTCCAGGGTGAAGGATTTAATTGAGCCTGAGTTTGAAGGTGAATCTGATGCAAGCTCAACATGTTTCACCTGTCGGAAAAGCCTACCAATCACACGTTTTGACTCGTAGGTGAGTTTGTCAACCTTCTCCATGAAATCTGGGTATTTGTGGATACGTAGACAGCGTGGCACTTCCACTACCACACCAGTTTTCGGAGAGTCAACAGCATGCGAGCTGAGCTCTGCGAGCTTGATACATGGAGCACTGGCAGCCTTCTGTCGCGCTGTGTCTGCAAAAACAGTATGTGCATTACAAATGATCCCCAAGTTGTCGTTCACTATGTAGTTGGTAAATGACTCTGTAACCTCCTGTAACAAACACAACAGAAGGCAATGAATAAGGCAGAGACAAGATTCAACAAGCGAAGTATATATCTTTCAATATCATTGACTACATTTACTTGATGAATTGAGAAATACCTCCATTGTCACATCATGATCCAATTCAATAGTTGGTGCTGGGGTATAATTCATAGGTAGAACTTGCCAAGAAGGAATTAGATCAGGGTCCCAACTGACAAAGTAAAAATCTCCGTCCAAGTCACTTCCAGAGCATTCATTCGGATGAGGCCTAATACAATACAAGGAAAGAACACATAGTCAGTATGTGAATAGAGAAACACTAATATGCAGGTGCAATATGGAACAAATTTAATTACTTACCGGTTTCCTTTTTGAGGGAAGACTACACAATCCACCATGTGGTGCAAGGCCGGCACATTCACAGCCCTAAGAACACGAACATCTCCTGGATGTAAACAGGGGTTTTTAGCAACCACTACGTTTTCCTCAACAATGAAATTGGCTTCGCTTGAAGTAGCGCTGCTATTGCTACTGCTATTGCCACCGAAGACGGCACGTTGAGAACACTGCACAAATACCTGACCATATTCCAATGTCCCGGTTTCATCTAGGCATCCCATCAAGGATCTTCCATTTGGAACAAATATCCTCGTCTTGGTCCGCAACTCCACAAGCTTGGATGCACAGAATGCTTGTAGCATCAATGACAGAAATGGTTCTGCATCTGGCTCATAACCACACGCAAGCATTTCCTTTAAAACGTCGGTGACCTCTCCTTGGAATATCATTTCAAGTGCTTCCAGTGCTCTTGATGGATCAGCCAAAACACCTTCCAATTGTTTCAAAGCCTCGTTTTGCTTTTTCGCGAAAACAAGATCGGGGACTCCGAGGGTGGACAAAAGGGTGATCAGTTGACGATTAAGGAAACAAGGTTGGTACCTGCTCCATGCCAGAACATCTAGTTTTGTGTTGTTGGATTGGTACTTGCACATGCTATCTCGCAGTGCCAACTTCTTTGACAATGTAGGATCAACTGCCACAACACCTTTATAGCCACCGAGTCGAATTTGAAAGGCGGATGGAGGAGTACTTTTGCCGCACTTGCTTGCCACTCGTCCAGCAAACTCAGCAGATATCTTCCCAATTCCATCAGAAAAACAATATTTAACTCCACCTCTTTCAGTTTTTACATCAGGAATGAATTCGATTTCATCCCTACCAACATCAAAAGTCTCCCTTGAAGAGCTGAAAGCCTGACCCAACCTGGCAGCATGTTTTGCTACATTTTTTATTTCACTAAAATCACCCATCCAATTTCTGATGTCTTGTGCAGTCAACTCACTTCTAGAAGCAAACATCCACACAGAATGCTCTCGTAATTGACTCGACGAATGGGCAAGAAACTCAAACTTCTTTTCACCAATGACTATGCCATTTCTTAGAGTAGAAAGTATCCTTTCATAAACTCCAGTTCTCCTTTCCTCTTCTGTAGAAGTTGTAGAATTTGTCCGTCGACATAAATCTCCTGAACGCATCTTACCCATGTCCTCATCCACGAAAGAAACACGAAGGAAATTATCAATATCTTCAGGATAATTTCGTAAAACACGATTGGATACATTTGCCTCTGGACCACAGAAGTAAACTTTAGATGGTGTTACTTGAACCCTGTGCACGTACACCATCCCATCATCTAAAGAAATAGCTGGCGACTGAGGAATTCGCTTGCATGCCGTGTACTCTTTGTACTGCTCACTAAGCCAACTCACAGGCTCATAGCAGCACCCTTTTAACCGAAACAGCTTGTCCAGGGCACACTCTATATATTCAATTCTGATTATGCTAGGATCCACTAGCTCATAAAAATTGACATCAAGTGCTTGCCCAGGAACACATCCATGCTGAACCAAGGAATTGATCTTAAAAAGGATTTTGTATGGCAAGTTAATGCCAAGGGGTGGACCCACGATAGGAACCAGATCTGAAGTGCAGGAGAAAGTGTTGCCGCTCTCCAGAACCAACCGCCCTTCATTTTCTTTATAATGAGCAAAACTCTTGCGTAGATTTGGAAGCTCACAAGTAGGTGGAAGCTCCAAACATGCAGAAGAAGACTGCCCAAGGCAGCGTGAAGGAGTGAAATCAACTTCTCGAACCCAGCCATTTTGAGAAGCTTTCTTGAAAATCCGAGGGGCACCAAGTAACTTGCAAGAGAAATAAGAAAGGAGCACAATGTTAGTCATTTGCCCTAAGTTCCAGACATAATATAGTAATTCTGCTATGCTATAAGGAACACAATAGTCTGTCTCAACAACATTCAAATTCTCTGCGCCGAAACAATGAAGTTACAGTGTTTGAGAAATTTGACATGAGATCAGATTATCATGTAGGAACTAGTGAATGGAAAACATCTTATTCAAGTATCTACTGCAATTGGAAAACATCTTATTTGTATATTTCATGGCAAAATGCAAAGTCATGATTCACAAATTCCGTAGTTTAACTGGCAAACCTGGATTAGAAGAAACTTTGGAAGTTGGCCACGAGGATGATGTAGCTCAATCTGGCGAATACTTTCAGAGGAGATCTCTAGCTTGTATTCAACAGCATCAAGAGATAACAATAAGTAGATATTTTTAAATTCCATCCCGAATTTCACTGAAACATCCAATGCTGTCCAAAGCACAGAAAACTGCCCCTCAGAAATCAGGCATCCCAAGTGCAGCTTGACAAGTTCCATGCTATGTTCAAAGTTTTGAAGCTTCAATTTTCTAGCTGTTTCAAAGTACAAATAGAAACTAATGACTCAGAACTCATTACAACTTCTCTTTGCATAAATTACTTGAAAAGGCAAAGGCTTAATAACTACTGAAAGCAAACAAGAATTTCAGAAGGGAGTTTGAACCCAACTCTCCGAATTTAATGACAGAGCTGACAATTATCTAAATTACAGGACAAAGTGTTACCTCTCTCCAGAACGAACGGTCCTTCGTTTTCTTTATAATGAACAAAACTACTGTGTAGATTCGGAAGCTCGCAACTTGGCGGAAGCTCCAAACATACAGCAGAAGATTGCCCAATGCAGCATGTAGGAGTGAAATCAACTCCTTGAACCCACTGCCTTCTGGAAGCTTTCTTAAAAATCCGAGGAGCACCAATTAACTAGCAAGAGAAGGAAGAGAGGAAGAGAAAAATGTTAGCAATTGGTAAATATGCTCAACCTTTAGTAGAACTTAAAACAGTTATCCATGTTTTTCATTTAAATTTAACTATTGGGCAAACCTGGATGAGAAGAAACTTTGTAAGTTGACTGCGTGGATGATGTAGCTCAATCTGGCTAACATTTTCAGAGGTGATCTCAAGCTTGTAATCAACCGAATCATAAGAGAAGAACAAGTAGATGTTCTTAAGTCCCGCCCCAAATTTCACCAAAACATCCGATCTTGCCCAAAGCACAGAAAACTGTTCCTCAGAAATCTGGCATCCCAAGTGAAGTTGTACAAGCTCCATGCAGTGCTCAAAGATTTCTGAGTTGGGCACCATGTCAAACTTTGCTTTTCTAGCTTTCAGATAAGATTTATTGTACCACAGGCTTCGAGCATCGGCTAATGGAATTATGATACCAGCAAATTTTGCATCTGTGAACTGAACTATGGCAAGTGTTCTTGAATTTCCATCTTTGGGAGGAAGAAACTTTATAGCATGAACAGTTCCTTTTCCAGTATATGCCTCCAGAAATTCTGTCACTGCTGCTGCAGACTCGCTGGAGGAAAATCCATACAATTGAATTGTCTTAACCATTTTCGTAATGTTGATGGCAACTGCTGCAGATTCAACGTACAAATTGATATTAATAATAGCAGAAAGAAAAACAAATTCTCCAAAGTAAATAACTGAGCTCAAAAAATATTAAGTAAACAGAATGCAGAACAGAAAGCAAATGCAAATGAGAAAAAAGTCTGACCTTGAATTTTTGGAATATAAGCACTGAGATAATGAGATACGACCAAAGGCTGCTGTGTAAGAAGCAAAGCTCATGAAGCCACTATATATATAGGTAAAACAAGCACACTGTGCATAACTTGCCATGGCAGTTGTAGCAGGAAATACGATCTCAAACTTGGCATGGCAGTTGTCCTATTGGCGCCAACGAGTAGAATAACGACTGCCGCGATCCCCTGCTTCGCAGCAATGACATAACATCCTAATGCGAAGATTACGTGGCGAGGAGCCACTTTTTTCAAAAGGGAAGGTATCAAATTGTATTGTGACACGTGGCAATATCATGATGGACAAGTAGTGCTACATACTATTAAAAAAAAAAAAATTCACTACTCATTTGAATTTTTTTTTTTAATCTGTATGACGTAAATGTTTGCCTCTCTTGTAACGTGACACCACGTGAGGAGAGACATATGTGATACATTCCGCTTTATATAAGTTTTACCCTTATAATATAGTTAGTAATGTCGTTCATAAATGTGTGTACATTTATTTGCATTAAAAATACTTTTGAGATTAAATATACTAGTTCATAAATCAAATTTGTGTTATGGTGGTAACTCTTAAGTTAGCTTAAGGAGGGTGAATCAAGCTGCTAG